ATCATGGTGAATGATCCTTTTAATGTGCTGCTGATTTTGGATTGCTAGTATTTTATTGAGAATTTTTGCATCTATATTCTTCAGGGATATTGGCCTGTAGTTTTCTTTTCTCATAGTAGTCCTTTTCTGGCTTTGGTGTTGAGTAATGCAATGTCATGAAATAAATTTGAGAATATTCCTTTCTCTTCGAATTTTTGGAAGAGTTTGAGAAGTGTTGTCATTATTTTTGATGTTTAAATGTTTGGAAAAATTTGGTGAAGCCCTCAAGTCCTGTGCTTTTCTTCCTTGGGAGATTTTTGGTTATCCTTATAAGTAATTGGTCTTTTCAGATTTTTTATTTCTTCCTGATTTAGTCTTGAAAGCTTGTATGTTTCTAAGAAGTTTTTCATTTCTTCTAGCTTGTCTAGTTTTTGGCATGTAGTTGTTCATAGTAACCTCTTATGATACTTACTACTTCTGTGGAATCAGTTCTAATGTCTCTTCTGTCATTTATAACTTTGTTGATTTGGGTCCTGTCTCTTCTTTCCTTGATGACTCCAGCTAAAGATTCGTCTATTTTGTCTATCTTTTCAAAGAACTAACTCCTAGTTTTGTTAATGTTTTCTATTGTTTTCTTGTTCTCTATTTCATTTATTTCTGCTCTAATCTTTATTTCCTTCCTCCTGTTAAATTTGGATTCAGTTTGTTCTTGTTCCACTTCCTTGAGAGGTAGAGTTAGCTTGTTTATTTGAGATCTTTCTTCTGTCTTAATGTAGGCATTTTTTTTACTGTGAACTTCCCTCTTAATACTGCTTTTGCTGCATCCTATAAGTTTTGGTATGTTACGTCTCCATTTGTGTTTGTCTCAAGATACTTGTTTATTTCCCCTTTAATTTCGTCTTTGATCCATTGGTTGTTCAGGAGAGTGTTGTTTAATTTCCACGTTTTTGTGACTTTTCCAGTTTTTCTCCTGTTGTTGATTTCTAGTTTCACACCCTTGTGGTCAGAGAAGGTATTTGGTGTGATTTCAATCTTGAATTTGCTAGGACTTGATTTGTGGCCTAACAAATAGGTGAATTACACACCACCATTACCGTATTAGAGAATCTAACTTTTTTGTTTTAATGATGCTAATTAGCATTCTTCTACTTCCACTCAAAGAACTCCCTTTAGTATTTCTTGTAAGGCAGGTCTATTGGTGATAAATTCCTTCAGCTTTTGTTTGTTTGGGAGTCTTTATCTGTCCATTTCTGAAGAACACCTTTGCCTGATATACAACTCTTGTTTGACAGTTTTATTCTTTCAGCATTTTGAATCTATTATCCCGTTCTCTCCTTACCTGAAAAGTTTCTATTGAGAAATCTGTTGATAGTTTTATGGGGGTTCCCTTTTATGTAACTTGTTTCTTTTCTCTTGCTTCTTTCAAAATTTTTTCTTTTTCTTTGACTTTTGACAATTTAATTATAATGTACCTTGGTGTAGCCGTATTTGGATTCAACCTATCTGGGGTCTTCTGTGCCTAAGGTGTCTGGATATTCATTTCTCTCCCCAGGTTTTGGAAGTTTTCAGCCATTATTGCTTTAAATATACTTTCTGTCTCTTTCTTTTTCTCTTCACCTTCTCGAATTCCCATAATGTGGATATTGTTCCTTTTGATTGTGTTGCATAGTCTAGTAGGCTTTCCTCACTCTTTTTCATTCTTTTTCCTTTTTGGTCCTCTGACTGGATAATTTCAAATGTCCTGCCTTCTAGATCACTGACTCTTTATTCTGCATGGTTGAGTCTGCTGTTGAAGCTCTCTATTGAATTCTTCAGTTCAATCATTGTATTTTTCAGCTCTAGGATATGTGTGGGTTTTTTTTGATGGTTTCTCTTTCTTAGTTGAACTTCTCATTTTGTTTATGCATTGTTTTCCTAATTTTCTTTAGTTGTCTTTGTATTCTTATTGTTCACTAAACTTCTCTAAGAACATTATTGTGAATTACTTCTCTGACAGAAGTAGATAGATCTCCGTTTCTTTATGGTTAGTTATTGCAGCTTTATTAGCTTCCTCTGGTTGTTTCACATTTACCTGATTTTTCGTGATCCTTAATTCCTTAGGTTGGTATCTGTACATTTGAGTAAGTGGTCTTCTCTTCTAGGTTTTACAGGTTTGCTTTGGCAGAGACAGTGCTTCACCAGTCAGCTCAGTTTGGGTTTCTGGATGTGTCCACTGATAATGTCCTTAGGCAAGTGGGGCTTGCTATCGGTGCCTATTTTTGAGTGAGGCCACTGCCCAAGCTCTGAAATCAGGGTTGGGGGTGCCACTGGCTGATAACAGTTGGAAAGGACTGCTGGCTTGGTTCCCTGTCCAAGCAAAGCTGTAGGATTTGCTCCGTGGTTGCCTGGGTTTGCTGGTCAGCCTTCCTAGACGGTCAGGACAGGGTACTTTACTCAGCAGTAGGTGGGCTATGAATTAGCTTGTCTGCCCTGGCAGGGCCCCATGGCCTGCAGGGCTCATTGTTTGGGGACATGAATCATTCAAGACTGTGCACTGATTTCCTTGGCCAGATGAGGCTACTGGTTTTGCTGTGAAGATAGGAAAAGCCATAAGCTGTGCTCTCTGTTCAAGTGTCACTATATGCAAATGGCTTTGCAGCTTCTTGTGTGCTCTGGTTAGCTTCCCTGATCCGGCTGGCTGAAGGCTATATTCATCAATGGAAGGGGCTAGGAATTAGTTTCCCTGACCAGGTGGAGGGAGAGAAGCACCTTGGCTCTTTGTGGTCGTGACTCAAGCTGATCCATACCCCAAGTTCCCTGGCTGAACAGTGGTACTGGCTTTACTCTGTGGATGATCAGCTCTGGCTTCTATACTCGCAGCTTGAGTGTTGCTGGGCTACACAGCTTCCACATTTTCCAGCCAAGCTTTCTGTTCAGGCATGGCTGGTAACTACATTCAGTGGTGGATGGGGCTATGAATTAGCTCCCCTGCCCAGGGAGAGTGGGAGGGTAGGCTCCAAGCAGACTCTCAGGTGTTTGTGATTAAGCTTTTTGGTTGGGCAGAGTCAGGAGCTACATTTAGCAATTGGCGGGGCTATGAATTAGCTCACTTGCCTGGGCAGAACTGACTTCAAGCCCAGCAAAGCTTTGTTTGTGGTCTTGACTTAAGCTAACTCACACCCCAAGTTCTCTGGCCAAACAGTGCCACTGGCTTTGCTCTGTAGACAATCAGCTCTGCATGCCTTACTCTCTGCTTGAGCTTTGCTGGGCTGTACAGCTCCCAGGTGTTTCAATCAGGCTTCTGGTCAGGTGGGGCCAGTAGCTACACTCAGCACTGGGTAGGGCTATGATTTAGTTTCCCCGTGGGGTGGGGGACAGATTGGGATCCAGAGCTGGCAAGACTTTTCCCTGAGGACCCATATCAGGCAGACCTGCACCCTGTCAAGGGTTCTGGTCAGACTGCTGCACTGTCTTGGCTCTGCAGATGAGCAAAGCTGCTGATTAGGACTACTACTTGGGTGCTGCAGGTCAGACCCTGGTCTGCCAAGATCCAAACGCTGGTTGTTGCATGCCACTCCCTCCTTCTCCATCACAATCAGATCCCAGTGGTCAAGCCTCACAACATCCTCTGTGATCCCCGTGAGGCGAGACTTGAGTGGGGGCTCCCAAGAAGTGAAGCACAATGCTGGGGGAGCTGGATGTCCACCCTGAGCTCTCTTTTGCCACTTGAAGAACAGTAGTCTCTAGGGAGACCTCTCAGTGTGGTGCTGTGCCAGCCTTGGGGAGGGGCAGTTCAGTCAGCGTGCAGCTACTCCTCTTACCCTTCTAATGCTGTCTGTCTTGTCTCTGTTGGTGCAGGAGGTGCTTCAGCCTCATCTCTGTGCTCTAGGATTTTCTCAGTGGTGTCTTGTCCATGAATGGTTTTTAGTTGTTCTTCTTGTGAGGGGGAGAGAAGTTGGGAACAACCTATGTTGTCATCTTGGTGACATCACTCCTGTTGTGATTTAATTATTAATATGGACCCAGAGTCAATGGGGGTGGTGAGGCAAATGTCCAGGGTATTGTCATTAAACGTGTTGTTTTTTCAGATGTAGGGATTCTCTCATTGTTTATAAGGAAGCTTCCTCTGCTGGCAAGGGAAGTCCAGGGATATTTGTCCATGTCACACCTATTGTTCCCATCCCAAGTTTCCCATCCCTTCCCCACCAAAACTGGTAGGTTTGAGGGTTAAATTGGTGCTGCAACCCTGCAGTCCTTATAATTAGGCCATGAGATTGGTCATCTGCCATGTCAATCCAACAACTACAGAAGATGAGGAGTTACTACAGTGCTGTTACAGAGGCTTTCTGATTGCCTATTGCATTCTCAGTTGCTCATTTATAGCTTTCCCTTTATGTTTTTCATAATGTACATTCTCTATTGCTGTCATAAGAAGCCAGTTGACCCAAAAATCTTTATTATAGTTTGTCATTATATCAATGAAGTGCCTTAATCTTTCTCACAACTTGTCCTCCACCTGCACCTTATCCTATGCCAGATTTGGTAATAATTTGAGAAATCATGATGTCATTGCATATTATGAATTATCAGTGTCCCATCCTGGCAGGAAGCAGATAGCGCACTTAAACTGAATAATTTAGTTATGTAGCCACTTTGTGAGCTGGGAGGCGGAGTATCATATGTACTATCCTAAATGAATATGACAGCTGTTGTAAGAAATTAAGTAAATTGAAGATTATGGTCCATATAGCCAAAAATATAAGGTAAAGACAGCCCTTTTACATAGTTATGGTAGCTACTTAAGAATTATGTTAGACATTCAATTGTTAAATCATGGCAAATCTTGGAATAGACTCAATATGATTATATCTCAGTATAATTTCATAAGAAGAGCTTTAGCTTCTCATCTGTCCAATGAACTATATTTCCCTATTCTTAAGTATTTGATAAAACAATAAAAATGTTCAGAATTAGAAAAATATTTTTTTACCACCCTTCAATGAATTGTCTTTCATTTTAATTTTTTCTGTTGTTAATGTTAGTATCCCAAGGAGATAACTTTGGAAGCATTTTCAGTTATTGTCACCCAGATGCTGGGAATCAGTCTGGGAATATCATATGATGACCCAAAGAAATGTCAGTGTTCAGGAGCAATCTGTATAATGAATCCAGAAGCTATGTAAGTTTTTTAAAAATAAGATTTATTTATTGGTTATGTTTATTTTTTTATATATTTAAGGTGCAAAAATTTAGTATTTACTTATGGGACAAATTAGCTATAAATGGACTAAGTACTACAAAATAGAAACACGAAATTTTAAGTGTAAGAGGAATATGGAAGGAGGTGTACCATTAAGAACACTCAAGGCTAACAAGTGATGTCAGCATCATGGCGGGGTGATTGTTCCCTTTGTCTCTCCCCTCTAAGTTACATCTAAACAAAGATTCATTAACCAACAGAGGATTCTCTACACAACACAACAGGACCCTTAAGAGATCCACACAGCTATACATCTGAAGGTGGGTGTACTGGACCCCCGGGAAGTAGTAGAACTAAGGGAGTGGACCTCCCCCACCCCGGCTGAAGTGATCCAGGACATAGATCCTCACATAGCAGCCGGCGCAACTGTGAGTGGAGGGGGGGACAACCTGGTTGATACATGAACGCTTTCAGAGTGGTAGCCCGGACTGCAGGAGCGCCCACCATGCCGTGCTGCCCCTGACCATGCAGATTCTCCCCACCAGTTGTGGTGGCTTAGTCCCTGCAAAGGCACCTTGCCTGCTGAGTGCAGTGCTGGCCCTTGCGAAGGCACCCAGCCTGCCAAGTGCAGCAGCCCATGGAACCTGCCTGTCAAGTCCAGCACTAGCCCATGCAAAGGTGCCCTACCCACATGATCACGACTACCTGATGAGCACAGTGGCCCCACCTGCAAGAGCGCAACCCACTCACCCACCAAACGCAGCAGCTAGCCCTCATGAAGGCGCCCTTCATGCACGAGTGTGACCTGCCTGCCAAGTGCAGCAGCCCTGTCCATGTGAGTATGACTCACTGAGCGGCTGCAGCCAGCTGGTACGAATGCAGAGCAGCCCAAATGGCACAACTCAGAGCAGATGGGGCAGAAACAGAAAACACAGCCCCTACCTCCCCCGGAAGTGACAGTAGGTGGAATCTGCGACCAGATACTACCACATATGCACTGGCAGAGGATCAATTCATCAAACACCATGAAGAGCTACAGTAACACTGCAGAACAGAAGGAAAATGACAAGTATCCAGAAACCAAACCTGAAGTCACAGAAGATTACAATTTAAATGACAGAGAATTCAAAATAGTTGTCATTAAGAAACTCAACGAGTTACCAGCAAACACAGAAAGACAGTTCAGTGATCTCAGGAATAAAATTAATGAGCAGAAGGAATATTTCACCAAAGAGATTGAAGCCCTTAAGAAAACTATACAGAAATTCTGGACACAAAGAACACAATTTATGAGATAAAAAATAACGTAGAATCCATAAAAAATAGAGCAGATCTTATAGAGCAGAGA